AATCTAATTAAGGGTTTCATTGGCCTAATTAAGTGTTTAACTTGGTATTTATGATAACTATGACTTATGTTCTAACATATGTTAATTTGGAACCATTTGATATTGTTTTAGAAATTAGAGATTTGATTATCATGATTTAATTAAATTTCACTTTATTGGTCTTATAGCCTAATCGAGTTTTGATGTGATGTATGTAATGACCATGTTATATTGTTTATCATGTATTAATTGGAGGCCGTTTTATTGAGATTTTAAATCTAGGGAATTTAATTAGTTTATTGATTAAATTTTGTTTCTATTGTATTATTGATTAACTCATTTGTTTGATATTGATACTATGTTTAAAGCATGACTTTTGACTTATAATGGATTTATGAGTTATGTTTCAATATTGGATTATATTGTTATAGCGCGTAACGAATCGCGCTCTGAAGATTCGACATGTGATGTTATTATGGCGCGTAACGAATCGCGCTCTGAAGATTCGACATTGTCATCCTATAGTAGTTGTGGATTTAGAGCATGTGTTGTGTGGTTTCAGCCTACTTGTGCATGAAGGTAGTTTCGTGTACTATTCAATACGTATATAAGTTGGAAATTTATCTATTTATTTTGGAACCACTTGGGACATTGCATGATGGTTAGGGTTTGGCTTTAATACGGGGGCAAGAGTCCTCTAAGTCAAAAGTTCGCGCGTTGAGTAGGCTGCCTGGGGGTTAGTAGCTCCAAATTAGCCCAGAAAGGTTCGCGCGTTGGGTAGGCTACCTGGGGGTTTGTAGCTCCAAATTAGCCCTGTATCGGTCTCATCCGACTGATGTCCAAGTCTTCCACTATTTGTTTTCGTATTCAATTCCAAGTTATCAATCATGTTTATATTGTGACTGTGGTTTTGGCTATTGGCGATTTGATGTTGTTAAGTACATCTATACTAAATTGTTATATTTAGTTGACTTAGCATTTAGATTTCAAGTTGATAACTTTGAGAATCTCTATCTAGTTGTTTTGTGTAAGTATGTTTCTATCTGGTTGCTTTGTGTAAGTATTTTTCTAACTAGTTGCTTTGTGTAAGCATGTTATATCTTGTTGCTATGTATAGCATGCTCTTGTGTTGTTGAAATTGCATAAAGGATGTGTTTTATGCTAAAAATGATCTTAGGTAGCTAGGATGTTCCTTGAGTCTCACCTTTGACATAGACGTTAGGTGGAATGAATCACAATGATTAAATCATGTACACTTGTAAAATGTAGGTCGATGCATGCTCATTTCTTATGAGTAGCTTTATGTTACTCTCCCCTACGATACTGGGGCATATTTCAGGTTCAGGATACAGGATTGGAGATTGCAATTGCTTGGGTGATTTGCTGAGTTGAGCTTTTTTAGAAGCATACTTGTTCACATGCAAGTGTTAGCATGTTCATGATTTGTCTATGAAATGTAATTTTTCTAATTTGGAGGTTTGACATGTCAAATGTTGTAAATGTATTGTAATGAGGCCATAGGCCATTGTAGTCTATCTATTTTATCATATTACATACACTTGCATGCCCACTTTGGCAAACAATACATTCCTTGATGAAACAAAAACTCTAAGTAGCATTTTTAGGGAGTTTTACTCTATTCTGTTCCAGTGGCATTTCGGGTATTTCACAATGCGTTTTTTCGTTTTTCTTCACGATTCACATAGAAAATTCAATTTTGAAGGGGGTTTCTTTTTTGTGTTTTTCCAGAAAACATTATGGCCCTCAAAAATTAATATTTTTCCGAAAAATTCTTGTTGCTAGGTTTTGCAAATTTTTAGTACAAATGTAGTTGGCAATATTCATCGACTTTTTTTTGTGAAAATCGTCACGACCGATCTGAAACTTTTGGAAGTCTTGTGGGTGTATTTTAAGATTGCATTTTCAATTTAGACAATTTAAAAACCTCTCGAAGCCCTATTTCCAAAACTTGGGCAGTAGTTCGGATTAGTTTTTTTCCTCTTGACCTGATTTTCTTGGGGGCATTTTGGGCATTTTACAATGTATTTTTTTTGTTTCTGTCCGCGGTCGGGGTGGGAAACTTGATTTTAGGGGGGGTTTATTCTTTGAGTTTTTCCAAAAAAGTCTGTTTAGATGCCCGTTTTTACTCTCAGTTGTAGTAGTGGTGGGTTGTCTTCGTCGGGCCGTCACGACATCATTTTTATTTTTGACCTTTCTCCCCTGTTCGGACTCCAAATTGAGTAATTTTTTTTGAACTTAACTAATTTGTCATTGTCTTTCTAGCGGTGTGCTTGTTAGCACCTGAATCCACTTTCTACAAAATGACCATTTTGCCTCTAGGTTCTTTTTATCCGTTTTTGAAACGACACTTCTGCATTTGTTTCCTTTGGGTTCCGTGACCTCATTGAGGGTCACATTGGTGTCTTAGAGATGCATTGTATTTCTAGAGACCACCATTTCTCTTTTCGTTTCCACATTTCGGATCCATTATTGGGTCATCTTTTGGTCATCACTGACACACCGGGTTTACAAAACTTGGGACGTCACATATATTGTGGCAATGGTCTTTTGAATGTAGACAACTTCAAATATTATATACAAGCTATGTAAAGGCCATTAAACACTTGTTCATGATCTATAAAGTGCCCTATGGTGGTCCAAATGGACCAAATGCCGATGTAGGATAAGGAAGAAACATTAACAAAACATTATAATGACACTCTTTTTGGAGTGAAGTCGATGAACTGCCTCCACCAAGTGCCCACCGATTTTCCCCCAAACCCATTTCCACCCTGTTCATCTTCCTTTGAAACTCAAATCTGCAATGAGTAATCAACAAGAGAGAGACTTACAAATGGAAGCATGTAAAAGCTAGAGCTAAGGGCGGATTTAGGATTTCTCAATGGGGTGGGCTAAATCAAAATATATCAATCAAAATTAACTTTTGTTTAATTCAATTTTAGTTAATTAACAATGTTTCTTTAGACAATTGATTGATTAAGGACTATCTCTACTTTTGACCAATTAACTATTTTTGCTTGTCAAAGTTCTTGTGATTTTTTTTTTTCCCAGTTCTGAAAAGATTTCCATCTTCAAAAAGCTTGGCATGTTGATAAAAATTGTTTCAGATTCAATCTCTGTAGATTTCTAATCCAATTCAGATTTTTTTTTTTTTTTTTTTATTCATGCCCAGATTCAAATTTTCTTGTAGACATATATAATGGACAACAAAAAAAAAAAAAAAAAAAAAATAATAATAATAATAAAACAGGAATAGAAGTTACGGAAATTATTATTATTTTTTTTTTTGCTGAAATGAAAAGTAGATTGCGGTGATTATCTCAAAATGCAATGAAAATTTTGTTACTTTATATTGTAAAAAAAAAAAAAAAAAATTATATAAAAAAGATCATAAAAAATTTCACCAAATATGATTTAGTTTGCAAAAGAAGAATTACAGAGCCTGATTAGTTGATTTAGAAAAAAAATTTAAAACAAAACCCATGCATACAAGTTAGCAGTTGCTTTTCCTCTGACTCCCTCTCTCCAAGGGCAAGGGTTGATGTTTGTGAAGCTACATTCATCTTTTCTCTATTTACTTCATTTAAATACTTTTGTTTTTGTCATGAAAGCTTAGGTATGTATATATATATATATATATTATACATATACATGTATATTTAAGCATTACATGTTCATATCTTCGTGGGATTTTAGCTCTTTTGTGCTTTATTTAGAATCTAAGGTTTTAAAAAATACTTCCCAACCTGTGTTCAAACTTATAGAGCATACCATGATATGCTATAAATGGTACAACCAGAACAATATCATTGCAACAATAGAGCAACATAACTGAAAAATTAGCAGCTGAATTTTTAAAATATAGAAAATAAAATAAAGCGGTAGAGTTAAGACTTTAGCTAGAACTGAATGTTCAGATTATTCTACTACATGCTCAAATAATTGACGCTTATGTAGTCTCTCAATAAAATACCTATTTCTAGTCAAAAAATTTGAGCATATAGTGGATTAGTTTTGGCTTTACATTGAAAATTTTGTTGAGACAACTGACTAAGAAATACAGTCATTTTTCGGATCACTGAACAATTTGTCAGCAGTTACCCAACTTGACAATTCTTTAGAAACATCACTGCATTGTATCTTTGTTTTCTGCATAATCCAAAACTGAATGCCTCATTTTTCTTTTTCTTAATAGGATATAGAAACAAGATCTGTGATTTGTTTAAACATAGATAAGAACATTTGTAATTATATAATTTATAAGGAGAAAAGGAAATAAAAAATAAAAAAACAGATTTGGTGATATTAGAGGAGCCTTAATGGTAGAGTTCAAATTACTCAAGTGTGGATTTGAGTTTAAGAAGCAATTTTGTTCAAATTATGACAAATGCTATGTCTGTACTCAATCTAATTGAAAGCAGCCTTTAAAACAAGTCCAAGATTGAGTAATTAACAAAAGTTAGGTAGAATGTGGATAATAAAAACTTTTTAAAAGCTAAATTTACATGTAATGGAAAAGCTAAAAATACAGTACACTACTCTAATATTGCTGCAGCTTTATAAATATGGTATCCCAATTTCCTAACACAACCTTCTTTTAAAGGAAGCCATTTTATCAACTGATTTTCACCGGAAAAGATGAATATTCAAGTAATTGAGGATTAAAAATGTCACCTAATAAAACTCCAACCCCCACCCAAAAAAAAAGGAAAAAAACAAAAAAACAAGTCTCTTAGGGGTTGTTACACGGATCCTATCTCAGCATATTTTGAAGCTTTAGAGATTGTATGAAAGTTCAAAGGGATGTCACAACTATATTTTCACATTGTGTGATGCACTGTTGTTTCAGAACACTTTGCTTTCGTCATTACCAATTTGTTATCTAATTACTTTTCTGTTCAGCTGTTTCTACATTCCTGTTCTATCATTTCATTAGATTTGTCTGGATGTTTCATAGCAGTATGTCATGGTAGTTCAAACTTTTTTTTTTTTTTTGGCAGGAAAACATAAGAGAACTTCAAAAAAGTTATTCTGACTCGCGTATTGGCAGTTCTAATGATTTGTTCTCCATTGTGAGGGGAGAAGAGAGAACTGCTCATGTGCGGATGGTTGGCTTCGAGCCTACACCAAGTGATGTTTGGGGGCCCTCTCTTAGTAAAGTTGAACTGATTAATAATGTCAAAAAATCTCAGGAGGAGGCACGTGCTGCACATGTAGAGTTGTAGGAGACGATTTCAAAAATGCAAGCCGACTATGACAATAAGTTGAAAAATTTACGAGCCAACTACGACGACAAGTTAGAAAATTTACAACAACAGGTGGCTATGCTAATGCAGATGCAACAACAAAATTGTAGTGGAAAGGTATATTTATTATTAATTTTACTCTTTACTAAATATATGTTTACTTATGCCAAGATTTCATATATTTTGTTTTGTTATTTTGAAGGGTTCTGATTCTTTAAATGCTTCTCCTAGAGTGTCCCCAAATTCATTTTCTAGTCGTGATGCCAATTCAATTAAGGTTATAAACTTTTAATTTCTCTTATATATATGTTAAATTTTCATTTATTATGATGTGCGATTAATGAATTTATAAAAAATGTAGGGTAATTCAAATCAAATGGGCAAGAAGACTTGTTGAAGTTGAAGCTAAAGTTGAAGATGGGGTCGTGGCTGTGCTTTCTGAATTTCCTTCTCCTTGGATGGGTCCTTTTTGAAAAACTTGTATTACATTTGTCAAAAATTCTTAATTCTTTTTGTGTGACATTTAGTAGCTTTATCTAGACAATTTGGATGGTATTTTCATAATGGCAGGTTAACTTGTGGTTGTATTAGTATACATTTTGGCTTTTTGGTTGACATTTACCAACTTTATCAATTAGTAGCCAATTTCGATGGTATTTTTCATATTGGCAGCAGGTTAACTTGTGGTTGTATTATGTAAAAACAATTTGATGATATTTTTATATTGATTTGTGTTATAGATGACATTTAGTAGCTGTTAAAAAAAAAAAAAAAAAAAAAAATGACCGCTTTACCAGCGTTTGTTCAAAAAGTGTTGGCATAGGGGAAATAAAATAATAAAACAAAAATTAAAATGACCCCTGTACCAGCACTTTTTGAAAAAGCGCTGGCACAGGGAAAAGAAAAATAATAAAAAAAAAATTAAAATGACCCCAGTACCAGCGCTTCTTCAAAAAGCGTTGGCATAGGAAAAAAAAATAATTAAAAAAAAAATGAAAATGACCATAGTACCAGCGCTTTTTGAAGAAGCGCCGGCATAAGGGGAAAAAAAATAATTAAAAAAAAAAATTAAAATGACCCCTGTACCAGCGCTTTTTTAGAATACGCTGGTAAACACCCTATGCCAGCGCTTCTTCAAAAGCGCTAGTACAAGGTATTTACCAGTGCTTTTGAAGAAGCGCTGGCATAAGGTGTTTACCAGCGCTTTTGAAAAAGCGCTGGTAAAGCCCTACCGACACAGGCTTTACCAGCGTTTTTTCAAAAGTGCTGCGCTTTTTAAGACTTTTACCAACGCTTTTTAGCACTGGTAAAAGCCAGATCTGTTGTAGTGACTTGTTGGCATTATGGGGGAACCACTTAGAGACTTAAGATGATGACACATGGAGGGTGGAGATTCACCCACTTGTTGGCCTAGGATAGGTGTAGTTGTTGGCTTTGATAGTTAACAAGTGTTGGCTGAGGATTAAGCCTAAGAAGGAGTCATGGATTAGTGACAAGTGTAGGCTTCATTTTTGGTCTTGCACTATGTGTGTGTGAAGACCATGGTGTAGGATCACCTTGTGAGTGGAGGAATGTTAAATCCTCTACTCACCTCACTTTAGTGCATCTAGCTCACCACTTTGCTCTCAAACCCTAACCTACCCTCCATTGAAGGAAAAGCTTGACACAAAGCTTTTAACTTCATTTTGGCCTCCTTCCATTCACCTTAGACCTTTAAGCTTAGAATACTTTTACTTCATCTCACTCTCCTCTACAAGACCCTAGTTTGGTTTTCCATTAAAGGTTGGTTGCTTTAGTTTATAGAGATTCAATTCTCTATTGAGGTAGGGGGTGTTCTAAGTTATGTTTTTCATGTTGTATATGCTTTATAACTTAGTACAAATGGAATATATATCTTTAATCTAAATTTTTAAGTTAATAGTTAATGGTACCTTGTATGAAGTTAAGCTAAGACATGATTTTTGGGAAAGCCATGACTTGATTCATAACTTATATTAAATTGAAGTCATTTAGGGTTGTTTTGAAAACTAGAGAAATTAATTAATTAATTTTCATTTATATGTTCCTATGATTTAAATCAAGTTTTGAGGTGATACATGTAATGATCATGATAGGTTCTTGAACATATATTAAATTGAGTATGTTTGGATGAGAAATGAAATCTAGAGAAATTAGTTGTTTTATTAAATTAATTTCTATCTTTGTTGTATTAATGGTTTGAGGGTGAATTTCATATTGATTACATGTTTACATCTTGATTTTAAACTTGTATAACACTTGTGAGATTATGTTCCTATTATTGGATTATATTGTTATAAACTGTAACAAGTTGCATAATGATTATTCAACAATTTGCATGCAATTGTAGTTGTGAACTAGAGCATGTATTGTGTTTCCAAAATTGGTTTGTCCATGGTAGATGGTTTTACATTGTATATATATATGTTATGTTAATACATATATGTTATTGCACAAATTGTTGATTTTAGAAACTTAAGATGTCGTTATTTTGACTAAGGCTAGGGCATGATTCTAGTATGGGGGATTGTCCCTTTACAAGTCTATTGCACACATAGGTAGGTTACCCATGGACTAGTAACCCTAAAGTAACTACAGCGCCGGTCTGATCCGGCGTGATGTCCAAGTATCCACTTTGGTTTGATTTCACACTTTAAATTCCAAGTTGATAACCTTGTGAGTTTACATTTTATTGCATTGTGTTGGAAGTTAGAATGTCAGTTTAACATTTTGGTTTAAATTACACGAATTGCATAGTTGTGTAAAGATAAATTTATGCATGCTCATTCCCTACGAGTAAACTTGTTTACTTACCCCAAAGTTACCGGGTGTTTTTCGGTTAAAGAAACGGTATTGTGGGATGCACAACACCCCTAGGCTTGCTTGACTACTTGGAGTATTTTTGTTATATTAGAATATACACTTGTTAGCATATCTTGCTCCATTTTGATTTATTTTGACAAAACATGTATTTATTGTTCAAACTATGTAACGTGCACTTAAGTGCACCTTTTGATACTTATTTTGTATGTGTAATATGTGGGCAATGGCCAATTTACATTTGGATTCACCTTTATGCATTATTCATGAAAAATTGCTTTTAAAGGGGAAAATTGTAAAACCTAAGGCTTTTAAGTATCATTTTTGCATCAGGAGGTATTTTTAAAGTTATGAGCTTTCTTTTGAGGTCTATTTATTTTATTCGAGGTGTGGCCAAGGGCCAAAAACCTTTCCAAATTTGCATATGCTCTTAGTCTCCATATTTTATGTTTTTAGACAAATTCTTGTGAAATGGAGGTTTGGTAGGTCACCTTTTGCATTGAGTGTTTTCGGAGGCCGTGAACCATTGTCGCATGTCTAAATAGATATAATACATTTGTGTGCATTCTTATTTGGGCACAAAACTCACCATTTCATAAAATGAACTTCCCTTGGACACTTTTTTGACATTTTATTTACAAATCTAATGTAAGGGCATTTTGAAAATTTTACCTTGACAAATGAATTCTGGTTTAGCATCATCACATAGAAAATGTGATTTTGGAGGGGGTTTTTTCACGGACTTTTTCAAGAAAATATCGTCTTGGTCTCGAAAATCCCATTTTTCTATTTTTTTTTTTACTGTTTTTGCACAATCTGGTTGGGTCGAACCGGTTCAGATGGGCTGAACTGGTTTCAGGGTCATTCTCTGGTCCAACATGGGCTCTCTACCCATGTTGAACTAGTTCAGGGTTGCTGAACTGATTCAGGATCTCCAGAGCATTTTTTTTAATTCCATCTTTGGTCTTCAAACTTTAATCTATCATAACTTTTTCATTTTAACTCTAATTTAGTCCGTTGTTAAGTCTAAATGGAACATATTCAAATAAGTTTTCCAATGGTACTAATTTTAGTTTTTGATTCTTTTCTTAACTCGAGATATACTCATTTTAGTGAGAGGATGTAAGTTTTTGGTTCGAAACGGGATAGGGTTCTTTTGGGATTTCTCTTCTTTACACCTTGGGACTTCATATAAGGTTACCAAAGGATGTTTTGGGATATGTTTGATCTCATTTGACTTATTGGAAGTCAAATTCCTTCTTCTAGGGGTAAAATGACCATTTTAGCCCTAGATTTCGTTCTAAACTGTTTTGAGACCTAGCTTTCGCTTTTGTTTTTCTTTGTACCTTGTAGCTTCTCGAGAAGGCACTTTTAGGTCTTAGAGATGAGGTTCACCACTAGTGACCACTTCATTTCCTTTTGCTTCTGTATTTGGGATCCAATAACAGGTCAGTTTTAGGTTACTCGCTGACGCACCGGAGTTTGAAAACTTAGGCCGTCACAGGTGGTTTCAGAGCTCCTAGGTTCGAAAACCTTTGGATGATGGGTTTTGGGTGCATATCATGCTTTTGTTGACTTTCTTTGATATGTTTACGTGCTTATATGGTGGTATGTTTAGGAGCTTATCTTAACCATTTTAGTACGTTGTATATGCTTGTCTGGCGTTAGCATGTTGTATATGCTTGTCTGGCGTTCATGTTATATATGCTTGTATATTTTAGCATAAATGTATGTCGCATACACTCCGTGCTTCTATTATGTGCTACTTATTTCGTGTATTCATGGCATAAGTCGTATTAGGTATTAATGAATTGTATTGTTGTTGACCTTCTCCTTTATGTGTGTAGCACCATAGTTTTGACTCGCGAAGAGTCTTCTCGTCACGTCAGAGTGGACGAGCAGGTTAAGGAATAGGTTACAGACACCAGGCTAGCATGGGGTCCAGGGATGCCCAGGGTTCAACTTCATGGCACGGATCTTAATCCTCCACGAGCGCCGACTTATGAGGAGCAGATCACACAAGGAGTGGCTCTGGGGATGTCAGAGTCCATTCAGCAGATGTTTTGTTAGCATATTATAGGGATGCAGATTTCGGTACCAGCACCAGCACCGGCACCAGTCACTGGCACTAGTTACTAATGAGGCATTAGACTACTTCATGAAGTTATAGTGGGTTAAGATCGACCAATTTGCATGGAGCATAGATCCGCTTGCTTTAGAGGCATGGTTTGATCTCATGGTACACAAGCTCGATAGCATGGCAGTGTCTACAAACCGATTGAGGATCTCCTTGACAACCTCTACGTTCATGAGAGATGCTGATATCTGATGGAGGTCCATAACCAATATCCATGATGTGGAGGTGATGACTTGGGAAGAGTTCAGGACATTGTTCTTCGACTGTTTCTTTTCGAGGGTTATAAGGCAGGACATGAGAGTGCAGTTCACAGGTCTCTATCAAGGCATGATGAGTGTCATTGAGTATTACACACACTTCACTTATCTTTCCCGCTATGTACTGGAGATGGTAGCCACCGATGAGCTCAAGGCGAGGAAGTTTCAGGATGGGTTGCATCTTGATATTAGGCCACCGATTTCAGTATTAGATTTGAGGACCTACGGAGAAGTAATACAAAAAGCTATGTTGGTTGAGACAGAGGACCAAGATCAGCGCAAGATCAAGGGTTCATATAAGCAGTCTCGTGGAGAAGCTTTATCAGTATCTATTAGGGGTCAATGGAAGAAGGCTAAGGCCGGGGACAGTTCTTGTGTTCAAGGACAGTCACAACAAGCTCAATCTACACCCACAGTTCTTATTTCCTTGGGGAAGTTGATTTGTCACCATTGTCAGCAACTGGGGCACATCAATTCTCACTGCCTATAGTTACAGCCTCAGGGCAGTCCTTAT